TTGGCTCTCTTGGACTTGTTTTAATTGTCTTTAACTTCAAGTTGAATTTGCATATGAGCAGTTGATGGTCTGTTCCACAATCAGCTCCTGGTCTGGTTTTGGCTGAAGATATTGAGCCACTTATGGTCTTGTAATTGGGAAGGGAAGAGATACCACATCAGGAAACAAGTTGGAAATTGGCTATGTTTAGGGAATAATTGGACAAGTCTGGCTACAGCAGAGGATTGACATGAGGGCATAGTGGTATTGTTGTGGTCAGATGCCATTGAGTCAACTTGACCCATAGTGGTCTTATGTACAACAGAATTAAACACTGGGTGGTCCTGTGTCATCTTCACAATCCTTGCTATGACTAGGAATAATGACAGAGCCTTAGTCTCAAAAAATTGGTCACTGAAAATCTTATGAATAGCAGTGAAACACTGTCTGATGTATTACTGGAAAACTTTATGAAGAGCCTTGAATGATTGTCTGCTATAGTACTAGAAGATGGGCTCCTCAGGTTGGGAGCACTCAAAATACAACTGGGGAAGGGTTGTCTTCTCAAAGTAGAGTTGACTTTAGTGATGTGGATGGAATAAACCTTTCAGGACCCTCATTTGCTGGTGAGCATAACTCAAAATGGGAAGAAACAGCTGCAGACATCCACTAATAATTGGAACATGGAATGCACAAAGTATGAATCTAAGAAAATTGGAAGTAATTGTCAAAAATGAAATGGAACACATAAAGATCACTGTCCTAGGCATTAATGAGTTGAAATGGACTGGTACTGGCCATTTTTAATCAGACAGTCATATGATCTTCTATGCTGGGAACAGCAAATTGAAGAGGAATGGTGTCATATTCATCATCACAAAGAATGTTTCAAGATATATTCTGAAATACAATGCTGTCAGTGATATGATAATGACCATATGCTTATAAAGAAGACCAGTTAGCACTACTCTTATTCAAATTTACAACCAATCATTAAAGCCAAAATGAAGAAAGTGAAGATGTTTACCAACTTCTGCAATCTGAAATTTACTAATAATGCAATCAAGATGTGTTGATTATCACTGGTGATTAGAATTCTAAAGTTAGAAACAAAGAAGAATCATCGGTGGTTGGAAAATATGGCCTTGGTGACAGAAATGACTCTAGAGGTCACATGATAGAATTTTGAAGACCAATGACTTATTTGTTGCAAATATATTTCTTCTACATAAACAGTGGGTATACACATGGACCTCACCAGTTGGAATATACAGGAATAGTGGCATATGAGGCTGGAAAGGTAGGCCAGGGATAGAGCACAGGAGGCCTTGAAAGTCTGGTAAGAACATTGAGTTGTATCCTTGGCCAAGATGGAGCCATCTAAAGTTTGGGGGCTTTTGTGAGCTAGAGTCTAGGAAAGGGAGGTTGGGAGCATCGACTTATTAAAAGCCTCTGAGATAAGCCCAGCAGCCTGGTATAACTCAAACTGCAGTGAAAATGTTCCAGAAATATGAGTCTCTTCTCCATCTCCTCCCCATCTCAAAATGTTCAGGAAATTTTTGTAGCCCCTGGCTGCTTACAGTTGAGTAGAAGGGACAGAGGAGGCAATTACATGGTCTACTATGCTGGGAATGACAAATGTGCCAGGCCTTCTTTCACTGCCTCTACCCAGCCTTCTGTGGGCATCTATGCACAGTCCCCACAATGCCTTCTCATTTCCTAAAAGAAGTCGTCAACCCCCTGGCATGGCTGCAAAAATGCAAAAGAAAAGCACGTTACTGTTGATGATGAAGATGCCGTGTTCTCAGGATGGGACATGCCACTGTTGGGCCCCATGGGTCTGTGGCCATAGTTGCAGCTTCCCTGGGCTCTGGTCTCCTCCTCACCTCTCCTCATTCCCGGGAGCCCAGCTCTCAGGCTGCGCTCCCTGCAGCACTAGGGGAAGCTGCCCCTTCAGAGCTTTATACACGTTCTTCCAAGTGGAGGCTCCTCCCCTGCTCCCTCTCTTCCATCCTTTCTCTCCTCCTGCCACAGCCCAGCCTCCAGCTGACATTGCAGCCTCAACATCCCAGGCTTGTTGGACCAATTACCATAAAGATGGTGATTTACTTGAAAACTCTTCATGACTCTGTTCTGTGTTGTTATGATTACCCATTGTGACTAGTTCTAACATCTGAATCCTTCTTAAGTATGGTTGATGCTATTCCAATCTCTTTTAAGCTACTGGTCTCCATACTTGTATATAGTGAATTCCATCCCCCCCCCACCAAAAAAAAAAAAAATGATAACATACACCCCACCATGTAGACTTTTATTTTGAAATACATGTACTAACTTTACTGGTACATTGCATACATTATAAAAAGTACTCAAAATAGGAATTAAAATGGAAATAAATATAAGTGGATATTCTCAAATCTTCTTGCACACACCCTAGGTATGAACACTCTAATCTGGAAACTACCACCTTGGCCCCTCCAGGGCCACAATCCTGGGCAGGCACACAAAGAGTGTTGCTTTATTAGATGCCTTCAAGTTGATTCTGACTCATAGTGACCTTATGTACAACAGAACAAAACACTGCCTGGTCCTGTGCCATCCTCACAGTCATTGTCATACTCGAGCCCATGGTCACAGCTACTGTGTCAGTCCATCTCTTTGACAGTTGGCAAACTTAGATATCATAGAGCATTCCTTTGTTTTTTTTCTCTGTCTTGTGTTGACCAAAACCAAAAACCGTTTTCACATCCAACACATCCTTTTAATTCACCACATCACAAATGCAGGAAATCATGGATGGGCCAACAGTAGCCCTGGAGTCTCCTAAGCCTTCGACCTTCCACACAGTCAAGAGGAAAGGTTTCATGGGTGGAGCTGGTCTTAAACAGGGCTCAGAGGGAGAGACAGTGGTGATTCAGTGGCAGAAACTTCATCTTCCATGCAAGATACGCAGGTTTGATTCCCAGCCAGTGGATCTCCTGAGTGGCCACCACCCATCTGTCCATGGAGGCTGTGTGTTGCTACAATGCTAAAGACATTCAGTAGAGCTCCCAGACTGAGATGGATGGGAAGAAAGGCTGAGTATGTCTATTTCTGAAAATCAGCCAGTGAAAACCCTAAAGGTCACAATGATCTGATCTGAAACAAATCATGGGGACGATGTAGGTCCCATGGGGACAGTGTAGATCCCAGGGGATGGTGTAGGTCCCATGGGATGGCACAGGTCTCATGGGGATGGGGATGGTCCCATGGGAAGGGCACAGGTCTCATGGGGATGGGGATGATCCCATGGGATGGCACAGGTCTCATGGGGATGGGGATGGTCCTATGGCGACAGTGTAGGTCCCATAGGATGGTGCAGGTTCCATGGGGATGGTGTATGTCTGCACAATGTTTCGTTCCACTGTGCAAGGGAGCTCTGTGAGTTGGGGATGACTTCGTGGCAGCTAGCAGCAACAGTAGAGCTCAGCAGAGGGATGACCAGTAGAGGGATGGAAGGAGGAAGTTCCAGGTAGGCTAACAACCTGGAAACTGGAGGGAAGAAATAATGGGAGGCTGAAAGAGGCTTCCCTGGGCTGAAGCAGAGAAATTGAATGGAGAGCAGGGCCAGGGTGAGAGGGTGCTTGGTGTCATGAAACAGAAGAGCCTGGACCATCCACACCAATATCACTTGACCACAGAGTTAACCAATGGCTACTACAGGTCTCTGAAGGAAGTACAGGCCAGATGACACTCAGTTTGGAAAGATCTGGAGAAGAGCTATCAAAGCCTGAGAGGTCTAGGAGGAACAGGGCTGCCATCACAGGTCTGCGACCCAGACTGGGAAGTGGTGGAAAGATCAGTTTCCATAGAGTGATTCAGACTCATAGTGCCCTCCATGGGTGTCAGAGTAGAACTGTGCTCTCTAGGGTTTTCAGTGGCTGGTTTTGGGAAGTAGATTTCATGACCTACATAGGATCTTCTGAGTCCATCTTAGTCTGGAAGCTCCACTGAAATTTGTCAGCATTACAGCAACACACCAGCCTCCATGGATGGATGGAGGTGGCTGTGCGTGAGGTGCACTGGCCTGGAGGTCTCCTGCAGGGAAAGTGAGAATTCTGCCACTGGGCCACCACTGGCCCTCCTTCTGAGCCCTCTGGGTGGACTCAAACTCCCAGCCTTCCAGTTAGCAGCTGACATTAACTGTTTGTACCACCTTCTGATGGGAAGAGAGGGATAGAAATGGATAATAGGGGTCCTAGGAGGGGTGAGGAAAGAAGGAGGGGAGGGACAGAAGAGAAGGATGGGTCAACATTTTACACCTCCTCATCTTGCGTAGGTTGCTCAGCCCGGCACTGGCTCCTGCTCTGAGCCCTTGGGAGGGACCTGCCCTCTCTCTGTCCAGGTTCCACAGCCCTTCAGTCCGTTCTTCAGGACCCTTCTGAACCTGGGGCTGCTGAGCAACAGGATCGTGGAATGCAGGAAGATGTCGATGTAGACCACCACCTCTCAGGCCCAGTACTGGTAGAACTGTGTGGATGTGATCTTCAGTACGCTCATAATCAGGGACAGGAAGTAGGACATATAGAAGAGAAGGAAGAAGGCCAGCAATTTGAAGGCCATGGTGTGAGCCTGGGTACTAGGGTCATGGGGCCCGTGCTGACTGGCCCTCATCTGGGCCACATGCCGGTGCAGAGAGAACATAAGCAAGGCAGTGGGCAGCAGGAACCGCAGAAAGGGCACTGAGTGGGCCAGTATCTCCTGGAATAGGAAGAAGTTCCTACTGAAAATCCTTACCCAATCAGCCCAGCTGTCATTGGTGTGGGGTGGCAGGGAGGCTACCATCTGAATCACAATGGTATTCTTGATGGCCGAGGGGATGGCGGTCAGGGCAGAGATGGCCAAAGACCCCAGCAGCAGCCTGGACACAGAGCGGAAAAACCTCCACCTGAACCAGAGGAAGGTGGGGTGGGAGAAGGAGACAATCTTCAAGCAGTAGAAGGTAGAAAGCCAGGTAGTCAGCCAGAAAGTGAACGTGTTGATGAAGTTCCAGAGGACGGCAAAGTAGCCCATGTTGGGGCTGGAGTTGTGGATGGAGGTTGTTCGTGACAGCCACGCCATGTAGGCTGAGCCGGGAGGCAGCCAGGCAGGCCACAATCACATCTCCCGTGGGCAGTGCCCGGCCCTGCACCCATTCCCGGCCCAGCACAGCCGTCATGAAGCCATTCTGCAGCATGGCAGCCAAGGACTCCAGGAAGAAGATGGTCATGAAGAGCAGTGTAGGCAAGGAGGCCCTCCTCTCCCAACCTGGATGCAGGACACATCCACTGGCAGAGCAGCCTCTCAGCCACCAGAGCCAGAAACCTCCCTCCCAGGATTCACACAGGAGCCTAGCTACCAGCTGCACCCCCACTGCTCCCCAGGACTGGAGAAGTGGATCCCTCTGGGCTCCCTGAACCTGCAAAGCAATCCATCTTATGACACCAGCCTCCATTTGTGTCACCTGGATTTGCCTGTTCTTTATCTGAGCAGACACTAGGAAACGCCAAAAGAACAGAGGCTGGGGGACCAAAAACACCCACACTGTGCAGGTTATTTATTATTATGGTGAACACATCTAACAAAATGTTTGCATTTCAACCATGATTATTGTGTACAATTCGGTGGTGTTGATCATATCCACCACTTTGTGCAACCATCATCACCGTCTGTTTGCACATTAGTCTTAACCCTTTGATAAATTCTGCTTAAAGGATGCTTTTACCCTTGTTTCCATCCCCAAAGCAACCCTCACCATCCACAAACCTTTCCAGACCATCCGGGAAGTAGCCTGTGTACACTGTACAAAGGCCCCTTTCCTGAGTGGGTGAAGGTCCCTGGGTGATGCCAATGGTTTGTGCTTGGCTACTAACCTAAAGGTTGGCAGTTCAAACCCACACAGCAGTGCCATGGAAGGAAGATCTGCTTCTGTTAAGATTACAGCCAAGAACTGCATGGAGCAGCCCTACACTCTAACACATGGGGTTGCCATGAGCCAGCAGACTTAATGGCCACGGGTTTGTTTTCCTAATAGGTGGAGGAGGAAGGAATCCATACCTACAAGGTTTGGAGCCATAACTCCAGATACCTACCCTTCTGAATGCTCATGGTGGCCAAGGCCTCACTTGCCAACTCCATATTGGTGGTCAAGGAGATTCCAGTTAAAGCGTGGACATCCCTGACATGCTGAGTTAGAAACTGTTAGCTACTAACACCTTCTCACCAGTGTGCTTGGCTAGTCAAACTTAATGAGTTCCTAGTGGGTATGAACACTACCTCCTTTGCCGTGAGACCAGAAGAACTGGATGGTGCCCAAGTACTATTACTGAACAATTCTTTCAATGATTCTATAGAAGAACCCTGGTCAAAAGGGAGAAATGCAGAACTGAATTTCAAACTCTCATGGAATCCAGATTTTCTAGAGCCATAGAGCTGGATAAACCCCTGAGCTTACTGCCCTGAGATAATCTTTATGCCAAAATTACCCCTGATGTCTTCTTTAAAGGAAACAATAGTTTAGCTTAATTAGTAAGGAATGTGTTTTGAGCACATTTGCTCCTTTGAGGTCTATCTATATGGAATCAAATTGACAATAGCAACTTGAAACTTAGGGGGCAGCAAATTTGTGTCAATGTTGGAGGAACAACTCAGCAAAGGAAAGTGGAATGGTTGCCCAACCCAAAGAATGCGATCAAGGTCACTGAGTTATGCCGCTGAAACTGTGAATTGGTGTCTGTTCTATGGTATATATTTTCTAGAGCAAAAATAAATTAAATTTTTATTAAGGGTAAAAAAGTAAATAAATAAACAGCACCTAAGAATGTCGTGAGGAAATGAGAGAGAGAGGAGATCAGTAGTGATGAGAAAGTAAACTGGGAGATGAGACCCCAAGAGGACCTCACTGTGGGGACTGGAGAGTGGCAGTGGGGGAGGGGTGAAGGGAACTGGGACGGAGCTGGCCATAGGAGGGGACACTCCGTATACAGGGAGCCCAGTTTGGTCTCAATGCTTAGGCTAATAATGGCCAACTTATTAGAACATTTTGCAAAGTATAAGCGATTGCTCACCTGTTGCATTTTGCCTCCTCCACAAGCCACATAGAAGGATTCTGGTTCAGGTGAGCTGACCCAAAGGCAGGAAACCATCTGGAGACTCCAGCTGAGGGGCGCTCTCAAAGGCCAAACACATATGAATGTGAGTAAGGAAAAACAAGAGAGGACATGGGAGAGGGAAAGGAGGGTAGGAGAAATATAGGAGGGGGAACAACAGGGAAGGGCATCCCCTCTTCCTGTATCCAGGATCCCCAGGTCAGGCCATCACCCTCCAGCACCACAGCTCAGAGAAAGTGGCCTTGCTGTCCACTATCTATGGTCTTATTCCAGCTTTCACAGGTGAGAAGCTTCTGTAAGAGTCATGAAAATGAGGACAACCCTTCAGAGTGGAGACATCAGGAAGGAAGACATAACACTGGCTTAGAGAGTGCTTTGTTTTTTGTGAACTCTCAAAAGATTACCCAAGAGCAAATGACCCAATCACATCAATTGTTTCGCAACAAGGCAGGTAACTTGGTTTACTCTCTGCAGGGCTCCCTCTAAAAGCAACTAAGAGTGGCTTTTGCATGTTTCACAGCCTTTGGCTTTTCTCAGAACTTCTAGCAAGGGGCCAGCTTGGTGATGCCCTGAGGAAGCAAGTCAAGGCCATGGCATCCATACCCTGCTGCAGCCACTGGTAACCAGGTGCCCACTGCTTACTTGTTTTCCTTTTGTTTTCTTATTACATTCAAGAATGCGTTCGGTCCGTGGGAAGGTAGAATGGTGCAGCCACTGTGGACAAGAGTTTGGCAGTTTGTCAAAAAGTTAAGCAGAGAAATACCACATTACTGTCATCGTTAGGTGCCGTTGAGTCTGCTCCAACTCACAGAGACCCTGTCCACATCAGACGAAAACACTGCCTGCTCCTACCCCAGCCTCACAACCATTGCCACGCTTGAGCCCATCATCACAGCGACTGTGTCAACCCATCTCACTGAGGGTCTTCCCCTTTTTCACTGACCCTCCACTTACCAACCATGATGTCCTTCTCCAGGGACTGTCCCTCCTGACAACATGATCAAAGAGGGTGAGACGGAGTCTGGTAATTCTTGCTTCTAAGGAGCATTCCGGCTGCACTTCTTCCAAAACAAATTTGTTCACTCCATAGTATATTTAATGTCCTTCTCCAGCACCATTATTCAAAGCATCAACTCTTCTTAGGTCTTCCTTGTTCACTGTCCAGCTCTCCCATGCATATGAAGCTATTGCAAATACCATGGCTTACATCAGGCTCACCTTAGTCTTCAAAAGTGACATTTTCCTTCTAACACTGTGGCAGTGAAGGTTAGGTGTCAGCTTGGCTGGGCCTGGTTGAGTGCCTGGGCAGCTGGGTGTAGTTCTTCCCCAGGAAGAGACTGGTCATCAGCTCCAAGGTGGAATCTGCTGTGAGCCGCTGAGTAGCTGCCTTAGGGACGTGGTCTGTGTCCAGTGTATCAAGAGAAGCTTTGGGAATGGTGAGCAGGTTTGTGGCATGCCTGGACCCTGCATGTACCAAGTCTTCATTCAGCAGCCTGCCATGTTGTCTGCTGACCTTAGGACTGTTGCTGGACTTGAACAAGTGGCCTGCCATGTTGTGTGATAATCTTGGGACTTTGCCTTTTCACTTGCCGACCTTGGGATAGTTAGCCTCAGCAGCCAGCAACTGTCTGAGTGAAGAGATGCCTCTAGCTCCAGTGGGCCAGGAGCAGGAGGCAGAGCTGAAGCCCAAGGTCGAAGGGCTTTCACCCAGCCCCTAGAGCCTGGCACTCTGAACTCCATCTTCTAGCCTCCAAAACTGTAAAAAAATAAATCCCTGTTTGTTGAAAACCACCCATTTGTGGTATTTTCTGCTGAAGTGGCATTAGGTAACCAAACAAACACCTTAAAGAGATCTTTCACAGCAGATTTGCCCAATGCAATATGTCGTTTGATTTCTTGACTGCTGCTTCCATGAACATTGATTGTGTAAAATGAAATCCTTGACAACCTCAATCTATTCTCCATTTATCATAATGTTGTTTATTGGTCCAGTTGTGAGGATTTGGGTTTTCTTTATGTTGAGGTGTAATCCATACTGAAGGCTGTAGTCTTTGACCTCATCGGTAACTGCTCCAAGTCCTCTTCACTCTCAGCAAGCAAGGTTGTGTTGTCATCTTCTTATCACAGGTTGTTAACGAGTCTTCCTCCAATCTTGATGCCACATTCTTCTTCACATAGTCCAGGTTCTCAGATTATTTGCTCAGCATACAGATTGAATAAGTGTGGTGAAAGGATATAATTCTCACACACACCCTTCCTGATTTTAAGCCAGTCAGTGACCCCTTATTCTGTTCCAACAGTAGTCTTTTGTCTATGTATAAGTTCGTCATGAGCACAATTAAAATGTGTTCTGGAATTTCCATCCTTCACAATGTTACCTAGAATTTGTTATGATCACACAATTGAATGCCTTTGCATTTATTTGTCAGGAAAACATCTTTCTGGTATCCTCTGCTTTCAGCCAATGATATCTGTCATTCCACCCCCTCTTCTGAATCCAGCTTGGCATAAACGAGTGAGTGTCACTTCCCGGAGCCTTGTTTTTTGCCTATTCCTTCAGTTCAGCTTGGACTTCTTCCTTCAGTATCATCAGTTCTTGATCATCTGCTACCTCCTGAAATGGTTGAATGTTGACTAGTTATTTTTGGTACAGTGGCTCTGTGTATTCCTTCCATCTCCCTTTGATGCTTTCCTGATTGTTCAATATTTTTCCCATAGAATCCTTCAATATTGCCACTCGAGACCTGAATATTTTCTTTAGTTCTTTTAGCTTAAGAAATGCTAAGTGGTTCTTTCCCTTTGGTTTCCTAACTCCAGGTCTCTGTACATTTCATTATAATACTTTACTTTGTCTTCTTGAGCTGCCTTTTGAAATCTTCTGTTCAGCTCTTTTATTTCATCATTTCTTCCATTCAGTTTAGCTACTCTCCATTCAAGAGCAACTTTCTGAGTCTCCTCTGACATCCATCTTTTTAAAGACCTTTTGCTTTCTTCGTGTATGGTGTACTTGTCATCCTATAACTGTTATTAGTGACTGAAGAACTACCATATGACTCAGCAATTCCACTCCTAGACATAGACCCCAAAACAAGTGAGAGTTATTGCTGAAGGGTACAAATTTCTACTTGGAGTGATGAAAAACATTTGGAAATAGATGGTGTGGTGGTTGCAAAACATGGCAAATGTAATTAATGTCACTGAATTGTACACCTAAATCATTAAAATGGTGAATGTTTATGTATGTATATATATATATATATATATATATATCAGCGATAAAATGTTGAAAAAGAAGAAACTGTTGCCATGGAATCATTGCACACTGAGTCATCTTAGTTCTTGTTTTGTGCCATTGAGTCAATGCTGACTCATAGACACATCACATGACAGAGTAGAATTGTCCCTGTTCTGATTACCTAGTGCTGCTCTGACAAGAATATACCACAAATGGGATGGCTTGAACAAACAGGAGTTTAGTCTTACAATTTGGAGGCTGTAAGTCTGAGTTCAAAGTGCCAGCTCTAGGGGGGCTGGGTGAATGTCCCTCAACCTTGGGCTTCAGCTCTGCCTCCTGCTCCCGGCCCACTGGAGCTACAGGCTTTTCTTCACTCAGACAACTGCTGGCTGCTGAGACTGACAAGTCCAGCGTTGACAAATAAAAAAGGCATAGTCCCTATGGGCACAATGCAACCAGACCTGGTCTTTTTATATGCCGAACCATACCTGGGTGCAATTACAGAATATGACACCCCAGTTAAGAATATGTCTAATAGGATAGGCATTACTCTGACTGATCAGAGCATTGCTAGGGTTATTTTTCAGTTCCCTCCTACTGCTTATTCTCTCCACCATCCAGGGCTATTGGTTATGTGAGCATACTACCTTTAAAACTTGGCCGTCCATCTAGGATGGATTTGAGTTTCCTGCCATTATAAGTTTTGCATTCTGCCCATCCTAGCTACCAACACTGATATAGCCCGTCTAATTAACTTGGACTGCTTGGGAAAAGGCCCAACGAATTTTAATTCC